CCTACGTATATTTTAGTGTTATGTCAAAAATAAAGAACAAGTGAATGCAGTGTTACCAAAATTCAACTAGATGACCCAAGTAAACTGGAGATGGGAAAAACAGGAAAGTTACTCAAGGCTCACTGCTCAGAACTGGAACATCAGCCCCAACCTCTCCATCTGGTCACACCAGTAGATTCTGTAAACCGCTACTTTCTTTCATCTTCCCTGCACTAAAAGATTTTCTCCCTCCTCCTGACAAACCCTCAAACCTCAACCCCTTTACTGATCTATTCTCAGTTTCATTTGGAGTTATCCCAGTGCCTCATCTTCATTGCTTAAATGTTGTTTCCAAAACAGCCTGCAAGCTGCTTCAGATTCCCTCAGCTCCAAGAAATACTGCTACAAAGAAAGTACAAAGCTGAGAGCTGGAGTATTTGAAGAGTAACCCCAAAATACACCCATGAAGTTTTGGGTGAGTTTCTCCTCCTACATTCAGCTGTTTCTAGAGCCAATTTTTCATCTTTCCCATCAGGACTGGAAGAGGTCCTTTCAAGACTCATTTTGTACATACCATTTTGGTAACCATTTCCCACTCACCTCCTACATGAGAATTTCTCGATTCAGAATCAATATCCACACTACAGATCAATCTGCAATAATGTGCAGGTCTCAAAGTTGTCTTTATTTATAGATCAAACTCCCATGTAACTGAAATAGAGCCTTAAAGACAAACACCACCCTTGGCTACATGCAAGATTCAGTGCCAAGTCCAAAACTCAAGTCAGAAGACTGCAAGGTGACTGTTTTCAGGATATCCCTGGGCTTAGGGCAATCCTCCTGATCATCCAGTAATTAAAGGTGATTACTATCTTGTTTTGCACTGAAGTTTGGAGACACTTTTGGCCTTTTATTACTAAGCCATCACTGTGGGTTTTCACCATGACATCTGAAGCACACTCATTCCAGATTAGACATTTAGGAGCAACAACTTGCTAGAAAAGGGCCTTCCAAGCCCAAGGCATCAACTAAAGCCAGCATTTGTATACACCAAGGAAGACAAGTGACATTCCAGTTTTGAACTGGGCCCAAAGGAAGCCTGCAGAACCTCCCATAAGACAGAGCTGCACCAACAGGAACATTTTGAAAGGCCTTTACCTCCTCAAACTATTCAACTAACAGTCGTAGCAGACTGACACTTGTCTAGTATACCCAACAGTTTAGCAAGGATTTGACTGGCCTCCACAAACAGTCAAGTTTTGAGCCAAACCAGGCCTTCAGCTTTCAAATACAGCTCTCTGAATTTTTGAAATTTTGAACCAATTGCTTCCATATAAAATCATTCCCCTTCTGGACCTGCTAGTTGTACCATGATCCAGTTATGGACTTGACAGCCCACAGCATGACCTTCTGAATGTGACCCATCCATGCACTCAACTAAGGGTCACTTCAAACTGGCTAGCAGACATTAAGCCCAGAGGTGTCTGTTCACTCTGGTCCCAGGGTGGCCAGGCTGTGCATGACTCCTGAACCTAGACTCCAGCCCAGCTCTTGTTCCTTCTGCTGTCAGACCACCCCAAGTCTAAACCCCTTCATTTGTAGGAGGACTGCTGCAGAAGACTGTTTCTGTTATTTGTCTCAGTATATACTCAAAGTGTAGATGAACTATGGACAAATAACAACTAGTTGCTAAGTATCACAGTAGGGCAAGAACCCACACACCAGCCTTGACTTAACAATCTCCTAAAGTTTCCAACACTTATGGCACAGCACTGTGACCGGGGCTGCCTGCTACACTTGCAGGTATGACAACAGCTCCATCCCTGCCTACAGGAACAGCATTTCCTACAACATTTAGATTTAACTGTTCAACCATGAAGTGCACATTTAACACCAACAACTAACCACTGTAGTTATGGCTAGAGACATTTAGTACCTTCAATAGTTCCATAAGTTTAAGTAAGTAGAAAGCCTTCACACATGCCTGAGAAAAAATTATTTAAACCACACCTTACCTCATAAATGTTGGGGTGCCACATTTTGGTCAGGAATCTGAAGGTAGGTGGTGAATATGGATAGTCGATAGGAAATTTAATGTGAGCCTGGAAAAGAGCAAAATATTTTAGCTATGAAACAGAACCAAAAAAAGAGATCAACTAGCAACCATTACACAGAAAAATTGGAAACACCAATTTCCATAAGGCCATTAAATTGTTCATTTTATCTATCAATGCCCATATGGCCTCACAGTATAACTCTACACTATTTCTTATACACAAAACACTAACTGAAGAAAAATTGAAACATCAGGATTGACCTGGGCTGGTAATGCTCAGAAAACAAGCCAAAAGGTATCTACCATGTCCCAATTCAAGAAGCAGTATCCAACAACTGTTGATAAACAGTGTAAAATAGATTTGAAAAGGTGAAACTCAAGATACTCCTGCTGTCTTTCTGGGTTCACCTTAGCAAACTTTTTTAGCCTGCTTCTGAATAGACCTGCTTTACATTTGCCAGTGCAAATATTTTAAATTATTCTTTGTGTGGAAAAAAATCTGTTAGATACTTGGTCTACTGAGATCCAAAGTAGGGGTTTTTTTGCCTTTCTTGTGCAAGAGTTAGACTAGTCCATCTACCTGTGTTTCTAATACATTTTTGGGTACCACAAGCACATCCCAAGTCTGAATACCATCTGCGTCTGTTTAATAAATCAGTGCAACTTTATGAACAAAATATTCATGGGCAATGGCAGCAAACATTACCTTCCAGTGCCTCTGAGGTCAGCAGCCAGCTGTGGGGCAAGAGTCTCAGAGCTGAGTCAGTTGTGGGAAGATGGCAGAGATCCCAGCACTGGATATTAACTTCTCTGTGCTGTCCTGCCATTCACAGCAGTCAGAAAAACAAGACAGTAGCAAAGAGCTCAGTCTGGACAGATTAAGTACCAAAAACACTCCACTCTGAAAGGGGGTCTCACACACTGCTTGCTGTGGAGCACAAACCCTTCCCTTGGCACTGCTCAACCAGCCAAAAAGTCCTAGCACCAGTCTAGTGTGGTATCTCCAGAGAAGCATCTCCTGGCCCCTGCACCACAGCCAGGCTCATGCACAATTGAGCACAAGAAGAGATCCCAAAAGTAAGATGCATGTGGTGAGAGCAGAATCTCAGGTCACCCTCCTTCCACTTATGTATCTATCCATGCCACTTGGACACAGGGCCTTGCTCAACAGGACAAACTATGGGAAATTTTATTCCTAGAAACACAAGCAGGCAACCAAACAATTTGGATTACTGAGCCACAGATTACTTGGCTACAGTTATACTTTACAGCATATTCTTTTGCCATGCAACCCAAGTTTTATAGGGCCAGAGTACTAGGTAGCCAAGAAAAGAAGGTTTTCTGTTCACCTTTATGAAACAAATTCAGCAGCTCACAGGGCTTTACATTCTGTGCATGCCCATTCATGACACTGACTGTATGTGGTTATGTTACAGCAGCACTGAGTCCTCACCCTGCAGTCATTTGCCACAGCATGCTCACAACCAAAAGATTTATGATACTCTTAAACAATCCCAGCCCATGGTTTGTCAGTTACATGAATGGCATTGCTCCAAGATGAGCAAGCGAATGCCTCTTGTCACCACACCACCACAGAAGAGAGCAGTTGTTGCAGTGAGGATATGCCTGGCTCTGCAATGTGCCACCTTGCACTGGGAGCAGAGATTTATCCAGGGCAGAGTAGATTCACTTCAGCTCAAGTGCTTGTATCATGTAGCTGCAGACTCCTCTGGACCACTGGGGTTTTCCCAAGAAAGCCCATTCCTATGCTTACGTGCAGTTTCATGATATTTAAGATATAAAACAGCCCAAGGACTGAGATTAAAAATGCAAGAGACAACAAAACTCAGGGTTGAGCTAGCTACAAGATTTCTTGGCAGGACCTATGTCTTCTACACAAGTATAGTTTCTAGGCAACAAAAAATCATACCACCAATAGCATACCAGCATTACCATGTTTACATCCCGTATACATGGTCAAGGAGCTGAGGAAGCAGGTTTCATTCCTCTCAGTAAAAACTCTCCACTCTCAAATTGTCTAACCCTGACGGTTTTGTTTCAAAAAGACCACTGCAAAGGCTGAGCCTGGAGCACCAGTTACGGTCTCTGTGATGTTGACTCATGCAGAAGCTGTAGATCCTGGAAGACTATTTCAAGCTTCTAAAACCTGTTTTGCAGTCACAACTCTGATGGAAAAGGGCTATCAATCTGCAATAGCAATCATGGATTTAAATAAAGTTGGGGGTTTGCCACATGAAGGATGCCTCTTGAGCTCTGGCACCAGAAAACATAACTGGAGAGAGATATGAGAAACTTTTTCTTCTCACATAGAAGCAGCTAAGACCCAAGCTTGCCTGTAACCAGTTGCATGTTTATAGAAGTCAGTCACATTATGTAAGCCATTTCTAACTAGCTTGTGCTTAGCACATTGAAAGGCTGTACTGGAGCATAAAGCAAGTGAGGCCTCTCTACAAACCTGATTTCAGAGCCAAAAACCACCAAACTAGGAAACTCCACATTACTGGCAGGGATTTTTTCCAAACAAAAAGCATCACTTTCAGGTCCCTATGCTGACATCATTCAGAATTTGGAAAGTGAAACCAAATGCTTTTCCAGGACATTACAAACAGGTCCCAGAGAATTACTCTGCATCTCTCCTGTAAGTGAAGTCATGAGAAATTATGTAAACCCACTCTGCTCTCACTGAATGCTATTCAAGTTTAAGGGGGTTAAACAAGTCAAGAATTTCTAAGACAAGTTGCAAGACTGCTTGCAAAGATGCACTAACAGCCACAATTAAAGTTAATTTTTTTTTTCACTAAAAGCCCAATTCTAAATATGTTAACAGACAAAAAGACCATATTAGACAATAAACTTATTTTTTAAATAAATCAGTAGCTCACAGAAAGGCTTCCCCCCTACAATTTCACTGATGTAAGGCAAATCAGTTATCTGAGCTTATTTCTGGTAAGTTCAGCCAGGCACTGCTAGGTACTAGAGAGAAGCAGAGTTTCAGGGCAGCTTGTTGTCAGCTTAGTTACAACCATACAAACTAATTTAGGAGGACTAATGATGCAACTCATTCCCCCACTGACAAGTACCCAACCATTACTGCATTCACCATGTGTTTGGCTCCTCTAGCTGAGCTTAAACTGAACAAAAATAATCTTGTTTGTGTCCTGATTTTAGCCACCAGCTCACCCTGGCTCTTTGATAGCACCGAGCATACTCAATAGCCAGGAATGTGGAAACCACAGTCATCACCACATTCCCCCCTTCCCCAATTCATAACTAGCCATATTTGTAGTCCCTAGAAAAAAGAATGATCTCCTCTGACATTACACTGAATAGACCAGTCTGACAGATGATTCAGCCATTTACAGGCATATACAGCTAATGCACAAGAACTTCAATCTTTAAGTTACATCACAACACCTATTTTAAGAATATTGTTACCAGCACAGTCACTTTGTTTTCTACTTTACTGCCTTATTCCCATCCATCCTCATTAGTGACTGCACTTCAGGTTTCTTATTTTTCTTCTGTTTGGATATGGTACAGCCATAACAAAATCTATGTATGGCAGAAAAATAAAAAGTCTTACTAGATACTACGTTATTTGACTGAAAATACAAGCCTAATGTTTCTACCAAACACCAAATTAAGTATTGATTCAGTCACTATGAATAGTTACTAGAGTGACTTTGTTTCTGGAGATATTGCCATGCACTTAACTAGATACTTACATAGTAATATCAACTCCCTTTCAGTGGGGAGGACTGACACAGGCAGGATTCCCTCCTAGCTTCAGTTGTCTAGAAATTCAGTATCTATTCCAGCTTAGCTGTACACGACACTTCCATAGTCTGAAACTGATTTCTTCTTCTCTCAAGGTGACAAAACTTAGATCCTCGACTTTTAGGCAGCAAGGGTAGGAATGATGAATCCATCCTATCTGCCCACTGCAGAAAGGCCAGGGGAGGAAGAGCACATATTTCCTGGAAATCCACCAGCATTACAACTGACCTGATTTGGGGAAATCAGGAACACCAGCAGCTTTTGTAGTGGCCAACAGAAACCACAGCTACTTGATGTTTCAGGAAGTGACAGTTAAAGATAATTTTTATTTTAAAACATCATAAGCATAATGCAAGCCCTGTGAAAATGTATTAGTGAAATTGAGCGTCCTTTGCAAACTGTATTTAAGATCAGACACAAAGGAAGCATTTGAGTTTTAAAACTATTTTGTGGGTTTTTTTTTTTAATTATTTGCTACAGACAGACAAGCTCGTACTGACTCCATGTGCAGATACCACCATGGCCTCCGACAGGTCACCCACCCAGCCCCAATAAGAGTTACAGCACTTGGAGACAGCACAAGGCCTCTTCATTTTCCTTTGTAACAGGCATAACCCGGCTCCTTGTTGTGCACACCATCACTTCCTGTAGATGCACACCTAATGAATGCCTCCTGCCGGTGTGCTGCTAACTACACCACACATTTACCATACAAGAAAGCCAGCAAGACAGAAACTATGGACCACTACTGGGTTAAATGTTAATATCTAATCCCACAAAATGCCCTTTACCGCTTCTAGCACATCAAGCATTTATAGAATTCATCTAATGGATTCTCCTCTTCCACATTAAGCCTGGATTAGCACATGCAGTATTAAATACTATGTGCCGGAAAACACATTCAGTAGAGGTCAGCAGTAAGTATTAGCAGTCTGTTTCTCACCTCAATGATGTTTAAATCACCTTGGTATCATCCAACTTCAGAACCTGTAAAGTAATATTAAAGCTAGCCACATTGCATTGTCAACTATTTGACAAGGTAAAAATGAACATAGGACCAACATTGCTATTTTAGCTCAAGATATTATGACTTAGGACATAAGTAACTTCTTGTGGCAGAGCTGGGCACTAGCCTGGTAATTTAGTTCCAGTTTTGACCTTATTTCCCAGCAGCACCACATCAATGCTTATTGACATTCATTGTACTTGTAGAGTACTAGGACCACATCTCTGACCCAAGTTAGAAGATGAGTGACGAGGTGAATTTGTGTAAGTCCTGAAAACTCGCTTGCAATTGCCATATGAACACTAAGAGTAGCAAACCCCTTATATTATGTATTACCTGCACTGTTTTATAAGGAATTTTAATCACAAAAACCTGAATGTGAAGAGTGAACTAGATCTCATAAAAAGAACATGAAGCTTCTAAACAAGAAAGAAAATAGAAGCACAAGTCAGAAGGCCAAAGATGAGTCAAGAAGTGAGGTTAACTTACAAAATCAGAGACTGGTTTGACAGGCAGGAGCCCATTCTTGTTTCATATTAAATCATACCTATTATATCACTTCCTAATTTAGTTATCTGGCTGTCATTACAATGGAAGATTCCTCTGATATAAACTAGGTTTTCTTTTACCAAAACTTCTTTAAATAGTAAATTGGTATTAAATATTTCTCTGCCCATGTAGCCATGTTCATAAAGCTGGAACTGTTACGTCACCCAACCTGGCCAAAGCAAAAAGCCTGAGATAAAATGGTCAAAGTTACAATTACATAGTTAAAGAAGGGGCTTTGACCCACATAATAGTTTTTTGCTTAGATCTGAAATCAAGACTAACAGTAGACATGAAACCAGGGCTGAGCTGGATAAGGGAAGGATTCATTACAGCCCTGTTAAGCTGGTTTGCATCCTAGCTCCTCTTCTTGTACTTTCATATTCCTGTTGCCTGGGCCATATCTCAAGAGATTCAAGTAAATAAAGCTGCTCTGAACAATGATATTACAACAAACAGTGCCTGGAAACCAAACCAGTTTCTTCTAACATTACTCAAAAGAAACAAAATGATTTTTTTTTTTAAATATTGTCTCCCTTTGATAACCTACAAGTTCAGTCTGGATGTTCTAGTCTTCATGCTGATAATCGCTCGTGGCAGGTGCTACTCATCTCAAGACTGAGTTAGCCTGCACAAGTTAGCTGTGTTTAGGATCTCAAGCAGCTCAGCAGGTAGATACTCCTTTCTTGCAGTGGGTTTTACGGCAGGGACAGTCTTTGGTATTGCCCAGCTAATTGTGCCATTCAGTCTGAACCAGGCGACAACCATTCTGGCTCCAGCTAGAAACACTCATTGTCAGTGCTCTTGAGCAAGGGAGCATCCAACTTCAGACAGGGCAGCTGTCAATGCTCTCATGTGCAGAGCTTGCTAGGGACAGAAAGCTGGGGACAGGCTGGAGGCCAAATAATAAGTTTCCCTTGGCCAGAGGCCACCTGCACACTTCCTGAAGCTGTTCCCCTCCCTGGCTGCACAACTGAGCACAGCCCCACCAGCACAGGGCCAGATGCCCATCTCCAGCTGTTCACACGTCAGTCCTGCAGTGCACATGGTTTGACAGAGAGGTTCCTCCTGCCTCAGCTCGATATCCCAGGCTGATAATGTCAGAGCAAGAGCATTTCTCAGCATGGCTAGATTTCTGAACTCCTTAGGATAAATCCCTAAGGCATAGCTCTGTTACTTTGACTTTTTTCCCCCCCAAAACTGGTCAGTGCCCCCAGAGCTCACACAATGGAGCAGATTACAGGAGCATTCACCTACATTAGGCTAACAACTGCCAGGTTCACTTCCATTACTTTTATCATTCCATTTGACTTTACACAATGCTACAGAAAACATTACTACAACAGCTGCAGGAGATGTAGCATCCAGCAAGAGACACTGAATTGGAAACAGTGGCATCCTGAGTCACCCAAGTATTTATTCTATAACCTGTCCATTTTCACTCCGTTTTTGCATCTGTCTGCCACCTCATCACAGAAAAGGCAACTACCAGCAGCTGTGTAAGACCTAACACCAAACAGAACTACTTGGTCCTCTTCTGTATGGCAACCTGCCCCCCCAAAAACTTTGCTGAGCTTTGACTACAGGAGCTGAGCACTAAATCAGTTTCAGATTCTCACTCGAGAAAGCTGACATCATGCTGAGAGGTTTCTGTATTTTCCTAGGAATTCCCATGCTGAAATATTACTAGATTCTGCCCCCAACTCCAATCACTCCAGGACTGATTTCAATAAAAAAACCTAGGAATGAATACATTGGAGATTGTGACAGGCCAGATGTGAGGAGACCTCTACTACCACTGAAGCCCTTGTGTGGTGAGTATTCTCTTGGGTCTGATGCCTTCTGGTTGTCCACAGACTGTACATGTGTTGTATGGCATGAAGTCAGGTTCACTCGGTGTGTGTTATGCAGAGAGGCTAGTCTGTGTGATTATCTTCTGGGCAGAAACACATGACTCATTTCTTATTTATATCTGTACAAACACACTGACTTCCCCATTTGGACAAAATAGGAAGAATAATTTCAAATGTGTGAAACTTAAGTCTTCCTATAGTGTCTAATACTTGCTGAAGAAGCCAAAGAGACTTGGTGATACTACACCTAAAGTTTACTCCAAATCATGTATTTTCTCTCAGATGTCTGCTTTAGAGGAGAAGCTGGCACTTGAAATAGTCCTACTACAGGTACAGCTGAAGATGGTGGTACCTGAACTGGTAAAGCTCTAACACTAGTGCAGCTGTTCTAGAAACGGTTTGTGGCTACTTCAGAAGAAGCAATTTTCTAACTCTTTCTATTTGCAAAAATGATAGAGTTTTGCTGAGCAATGGCAGGAATATTTGAAGCTACTTATTCAAAGTATCATGCTACATTACTGGCATCCCTGGCAGCAAGTGTGGAAGCCCTCCAGCCTGTGTAGGGGCTGACACTATGGGCACCACTCTCCACTTGCCAGGCTTCAGGGTCCAGAAGATTGTCTCTTTTATTAAGAACTGCATTAGCCTACATCTTCAGCATCCTGTTCAATTTTGTGTTTTGAACTTTAATCTCCTGCGTAACTCACTTTCTTGAAGCAGATTTACATACAGGCATGTCTATGGAATGAATGAGCATGACAGACTTCAGACTTATCCTGATCATTTCTAGTTTAGTTTGCTCAAATTCAAGTGATCATGACCAAAGCATATTCACAGCATTTGGTGCCAAGCTTGACAGTTTCTATGAACTCATCTATTCACTCCCTTGTTTGCATACTCACCAAAACACAGCAGACTGCTTTATTGTTCTGTGAGGTAAGCCACACTGTTTGCAACTGCTGAGTGAAAAGATACCCAAGCTATCTCAATATACAACCACCCTTCAACCTGTTTTAACTCTTTTTAGACAATTCTTTAAACAAGAACCATTCATGAGT